GTGGTAGTGGTAGTGGTAGTGGTAGTGGTAGTGGTAGTGGTAGTGGTAGTAATAATAATAGCCTTAGTTTTAGTAATAGTATATAACAGTATCTATGTAAAAAACGAAACAAGCACGGGGTTTGCGAAGACATTTGGTTGCTTCTGTTTGTTCTTAGATTTTAGTCATGCATGGTTCATGGCATGTACGCATGCCATTCATGATGATCAGTAACCTAATGGTAGTCGCCTGCAGGAAATGTGGTTTTCAAGGTTTGCGAGGTGCGGTGCTGCTGAAAGAGCTCACTGAGCTGGAGAGCCTTCTCGAGAAGCTGGCGCAAATGGCGGCACAGGAAGCTGTGAAGGCCACTGCCCTGCACAATCATCAAGGTCAAAACCAAACGTCTGTACCATGACACGCACGGGGGCCTGTTAGATTCTCAGTCATGCGTGATTCATGGCATGTACGCATGCCATTCATGATGATCGGTAACCTGATGGTAGTCGCCTGCAGGAAATGTGTTTTTCAAGGTTTGCGAGGTGAGGTGCTGCTGAAAGAGCTCACTGAGCTGGAGAGCCTTCTCGAGAAGCTGGCGCAAATGGCGGCACAGGAAGCTGTGAAGGCCACTGCCCTGCACAATCATCAAGGTCAAAACCAAACGACTGTACCATGTCACCCCTGAACCCCCCTCAACACAACATAATATGGCTGATGTTGATGTATGCAAAAAATGCAAAACACGCACGGGGCCTGCTGAGGCGTGTAATTTCAGACGAGGTGCAATCCCGGGAGAAAATTGAGCGGGACACTCAAGGACACAAAGGGACACTCCAGAATGTCCCCGAGTGTCCTTGTCTGACTGGTCTATTGTGCCTTCTTCCGCTTTCCGATTTTATCATCTTGCTTCTTCTTGAGTTTTCTCTCCTCTTCTTTTCTCTTCTCTGTTCTATTGTGACCAACACTTTCGTTTCTTCTTCCGTTTTTCCACTTCTATAATTTTCCACTCTTATCCTTATGTTGTTTTTTCCCTCTTCTCTTCTCTTCCCTTCCCGTTGTTCTTCTTGTTAGGTGAAAAATGTGTTCTTAAGACATCCTTCCCATATTAACGCGTTGGTTCTCACTTCTCATTACTAGCCGGTTCCTTTTTCCTGATGGTAAACACGTGTCTTCGTATTCTTCTTCTTCTTCTTTTCTTCTTCTTCTTCTTCTTCTTAAGTCCACCTTTTCTTATTGTAGACGCACTAGCAAGAGCGTCTGCCAGCGCGCCGTTTTCACCTAAGGCGCAGCACGAAATGGCTTCAGGCCTTGATCCAAGCGAACATGAACAACCATGTTCCTCCGCCTGCCCAACACCGAAGAGCAAACTCAACTTTCACAGTTCATCCCCTTCTCTTGTGGCATTTGAGGGGTTGGGCAACGGCTGAACACGGTCACGAGCAAAGCAACAGGCTCCTCAAGCATCGATCGAGGATTCTGGAGCTCTCGCATGTCGACAGAGTCTTCCAACTGTCGCCAAATCACACTATGTTCGCTGTCAAAGCGGGCAAAAGTGGAACGAAACGCATGCGTCGTTCTTGAACAGTGTGGCTCTGGGGTCCTGTACGAACGAGCCTGACGGCACACGTTGACGGCCAAATCTTCATTCAAAACATGCCAACCTGAGCTCTGTGAGAGCTTCATCACATGGCCAAACAACGGGGAGGAGCTTTCAAAAGGGACTCCCATGTCACTTCTCACCACCCTTCCGGTCTGTTGTGAGTTAGCCATGGGCTTCTTACTTTTGGACGTCTGTTTGACGTACTGGGAGGAAAACTGTACACACCACTTGCAATCTCTCAGGATCTTGTGAAGGTGTTGAGGGTCAAGCTCCTTAGTGCCGGAGTCTACGATCATGTTCTCTGTTGCTGTCCAACGCATGCTCGTGTTGCATCGAGCCAGCATTGAACGAATCCAGCTTATGGTGAAAGCTAAACTCTTTTGGCTGCCATAGCTCGGCGTTTCTGAGCAGGATTTGTCGAATGCATCCTTGGCGTCGGTGACAACCAACAGGGGCACGGAATCCGTGCTAAGGTCAAAGGGCTTCCGGTCGAGTGGATGACCGAAAGCTTCGCCAAGCACGCCGCGGCAATATTGCCCGGCATCCAGCGCCTCCTCAATGCCCAGCAACTCTGCGGCAAATGTCGATCTGCATACCCGGTTCAGTCTATGAGACCGGGCGTCCAACACTGTGAACTTGCCTTCTCTGCCGCTCATGAGGTTTTCGTCAGCAATGAGGACAAAGTAGGCGGCTTGACTATAGACCTTCTTGATGGCTGCTTCGTGGGAACTACCGCTTTTCGTCACATTGCCAAGCGAGGCATCAGAAACAACGAGGATCCCAGCATTCTTCATGTCCAAGGGCTTGAAGTGCAGAGCGAAGTCTGCGTGGAGCTTTGCCTTTCTAACTAAGGCGTTGGCACGGATCAACGTCTCGATGGTCTGGGAAGCACCCTGCAATGTCGACAACTGAAATTGCAAGTCAAAGCGAACTTGCGCTACCAGCCACTGCAAACTCCCAAGGAGAGCTCTGAGCTGGCGTTGTTCCCCAGGCATCAAAGTAGCTTCTGGATTCTTCTTTCGAAGTGGGTTGATGCGCACCTGCTGAAGATTGCTATGGTACTCTTCCATGGAAACTTTCACTGAAAAATCTTCAGCTTGCTCAATCTTCTTTCCACAATAGGTTATGGTTCCGGTGGAGGTGGAACCAAACCCAAGTTCGGCACCCAGCAATTGCAAGGTGTGGTGCGCACGAGGGCCTCCGGCCAGTAGCAAGTCATCCACGTGGGAGATGAGGACGCCTTCCAATTTGGAGCCTTCCCACAGGAACCACATGGCCGAATCCAGAGCTGAAAGTTGCCAACCATGGTGTTGTACTGACTTGCATAACCTCTTATACCAACGACGAGGGCTGTCAGCTAAGCCAAATACTCCCTTTTTCACACGGCATAAGCCTGCTTCAGAGAATGGTAGGCGTGGCTCATCAGGTGCTCTGGTCTTCACGTTGGCGAGGTAGAGGATGCGTTCATTGGGGCCAAACTCTTCACCTTTCATGAATGCCGACTTGATGTCAGCACTTGCCAGCTTCCACTTCATACTGGCGGCAAAGGTCAGCAAAAGATGCTGAGAAGTTCTCGACGCTGTTGGAGCATCACAGCGAAGGCCATATGCACTAATGTCTTGGTATCCGGGGACGACCAGCCTGGCGTTAGCCTTGAGTGGAAGGTCCCGGTCTGCCGTCCTCAGTCCGTCATTCTTGTCCACATAGACGAAGCGAGGAACCAAGATGCGGTGGCTTTCACCTTCTGTCTTCAACTTCTGCCTAATGCGGGCAGCTTCGGCATCTGGAAGAGGTTCGATGGCTTCATTTTCAACCCATACTGACCATCCTTTGGCTGCTGCTTCACGGAACTCCTTTTTCTCAAAGTCCGACATGTGACTCCATACATGCTCCTTACGAGCAGTGAGCACTGCAAGCACTTCCTGAGCAGCATCATCATTGCCAAGGGGCCAAAGTTGCTTCAGCATTTGCCGTCGTTTGAATTCTGTCCTCGAGGGGAGAGGCCAATTGCCACGCCATGTCCCATGGTCTCGGACTCTGGCTTCCAAGGGATTTAGACGATCCTGTTCCGCCATGATCTGGATCTGACGGAGCGGATGTACATTGGCATAGGCTTCCATTTCCATCACTTCATGAGTCACTCTCAGGGCTTCGGAAGCTTCATCAGGAACTTCATCTGGAGGTTGAGCCGGAGTTGGAGCAACAGGGTCTGGTTGAAGAGCTTCTTCACGCAAGCGCTCAGCATCCAGTTCAGCAGGCCTCTTGGAAGCTTGTGACTCGCCGCTAGCACTTGGGGCGGCACTGGAAACGCTCTGCCGTCTCTGTTCAAAGGCAGCTCGTACAGCTTCAGGAAATGGAGATGTACCTAAGTCTGGCAAAGAAGAAGTATGTCGAGACCATCCTCTTGAGATAGGACCACCTTGAGCATTGCCGAGGGCTTGCACGAACTCTTGAGGATGTAAAGGTGGTAGATCGGCAGGAGCTTCTTCAGGTACGGCCGAAAGAGGAACAGGTTCAACAGGTAGAGACACTCCCGTCATTGGTTCACCCTGTGCTTCGGGTTCAGCCGAGGTGGTTGTAGATGAGGAAGTCGTTGGTATCTGTCGATCATGGTATGCCGCATCGATGACTTCCTGAATGGCATCTTGCCATACCTCACTCGCAACTTGTTCCAGGGAGCTGGCTGGTCTCAAATGCTCAATAGCGCACTTGGTCAGTTGTCCTCTGAAACTCACATATCCATTCACATTGCCCTCCAAAGCGACGAGGAGGGCAGGGCCATGCCATCGCTTGAGACTGAGCCGTTTCTTGGATGCAGCTGTTCGGTTGTTGAACCGAGTTTGCCTGAAGAAGTAGACGATATCTCCAGGAGATAGGCCATGCTCTGCCGTCGGTCCTCGAGAGCGGGCTAGTTCAGCTCGTCGAAGGCCTTTGGAAAAATGAAGGCGCACCATCGCCAAGCGAGCAGTCTCTCGCATGGCAACTTGTCTGGCCAAACTTGGCCGAGAGTCGATGAGTCCATGCTCACTCAAGCGGCGACCAAAATCACCAAGGCAATCTCCGTGCATCCGGGGTTGCTTTCCAAAGGCAGCTTGCGTAGGAGAGACACCAGCGTCGTTGATGTCCGAGTTGTAGGCGCTTACTGCCTCCTGGAGACAAAGTTCAACATCATCTTTTCCCAAGGCCGAATGAGCCTTGATGCACGAACGAAGAATGCCCTTAAGGATAGCTCCACCGCGCTCACATACACCATTCTGCCAAGGGGCTTGGACCGCGGTGTGGTGGAGGTAGATGCTCCATGAACTGCAGAACTCTTCAAACTCAGCAGACACGAACTCCTTGCCCTGATCTGCTATCAGGACTCTTGGTGCTCCCAGGATGGGAAGCCATTTGGTCTTAAAGAAGCGCTCCACCATGCTCGAACTTTTTGTTTCCAAAACTTCAGCAAACTGCAGCCTGGAGACATAGTCAATTGCATGGATCACATAGAAGCGCTTTTTGCCAATGTCTTCAATCTCAAAGAGGTCCACATGGACCTGGTCGCCCACATCCTTGGGTAGTGGCAAGGTAGCAGGCCGTCTGGCCTTTGGGATCTTCCGCTCGTCGCAAATTGAGCATTTGAGGTGACGAGCAGCATGGATGATGTCCGGAGGGGCACCAGTGATAGCCAGTGCTCTGGCTAGGCGACGGCCAGATCGGTGGCCCGTGTTTTCATGTAGGCGTCGAAGAGCTTGCTTCACAGCAGCTGACACCTTGGGTCCAGTGACAGCTTCAGTGGACTCCTGATCAGAGTCACTCAGGTTCATGTCAATCGGCAGGGCGGTCTCATCTTCAGCCTCCTCACCGTCTTCGATGGCAAGGATGTTGTGTGGTCTTTTGAAGTCAGCTTCAAATTGCTTTTCCATTCCAACCACCAGGGCCTTGGCGAGGGCCCACGGATAGTGGCCAGCGGGCTCTGAAACAGCTTTTCCCCCAATGATGTGACCATGAGGGTGATTGCCAAGACACTTCATGCCGTCCAGTTGGGAAAGGACCTCATCACTCGAAGTGGCTATCCTCGTAGCTTTCCGAAGTAGGTCACCCGCCTGGTTCTTCAAGCGGAATCGGCATTGGTGGAAGACTACACAACGGGCCTCAAGTTGCTCCAAGGCTCTTTGCATCTCTTCCAGGGTCCATGCTCTAGAGGATTGAGGGTTCTCCAAAACAAAGTGACAACCACGACTCTTCTGGTCCTTGGCCAATTGGAGGGCGAACTGCAAGAGGGTGATCGCTTCCTCATACATCTTGGTGCCATTCTTCGGAGGGTTGAGGTTGAGTAACACACTCCAAAAGGAACAAGGAAATGCCAGCACCAAAAAGAAAGGACTTTCACGCTTCAGGACGGCTCTGGCAGCTTTGCGATCCAGTGGACGGAGAAAGTTCCATCCTGATTCCAAGCTCATTGAGGCTCCCACTCGATGTCCTCGTTTGCGAGCCGTCTGCGCAACTCGCTCCGTGTTTGCGTAGACCTCGGTGACAAAGGTCTTGGGGAAGCGGTCATTCTCAACAAGGTCGGGGTTCTTTGAAATCAACCTATTCTCAGACATGGCATGGGACTGAAAAGACTTCTCATCGCCAACGGTGAGGGTGGTGACAAAGATCTCGTTCTGGAAGTGGTCCATCGCTCGATGCCACTGCTCCTCATAGACTTCATTCACTTCCTTGGCACTGAGCGACACAAGGCGACGGTCTCTTTCATGACGCTCCCAAGCATCCGAAATCATTTTAGCCTGACCAGGTTTCACCGCCTGATGTATCCTCCAAGGATTCGTCTCCAGCTCGAGCGTCGGTCTCACTGGTCGCGAGGAGGAATTCCATTGGCCTGGCGCCACTCCAAGTCGTCCTGGTAGTAGTCGCGGTTCATCTGTTGAATCTCGTCCTGGGTCCAGCCGAAGTCCATGGTTGCTTCGGTTTCCATCAGACCGGAAGTCATAGGTCCTGGCAGGTGCGATGCTTGGTGCAGGGTCGAAATGCTCTGGAGCACTTGGTTCAGCATCCCTTGGAACTTGTGGTCCTGCATGGTGAGGACTTCCTGTAGCTCTTGAGCGGTCACTCCAGGAGATGCCTTGGCCTTTGCGCCAATTGTCTCGGGCGCTTGAGAAGGTCTCGCCATTGACGTCTCGGGGACATGTCTTTCCGTTGAACTGGTAGATCCACTTGCCTTCGAGGGAGTTGGCTTTTGAGCGATCTCGGCAACCAAGGGGCGGCAAGCTTTCTTGAGGTCTTCCACAGTCATTCCAGTCTGGACGGGGATGTTCAGGAGTGAAGCCAGTTTCACCAGGTCTGCCTTCAACGTTGGCAGGCCCCCCTTTGGGCCAATGAGGGAGCGCACCATGTCGTGCTTCTCTCCACGCTTGGTAGCGGCCTCGGCTTCGAGTTGGGCTTCCTGAATGGCATCCCGCTTCAATTGGGCCGTCAGGCCTTTGCTGGCGCGCGCCGCAAGCATTCCTTGCAACATGTTGTCCTCCATGAAGGCGAAGTTGAGGCCAGCACGGTTCCTGAATTGTCCCAAGTCCAGGAGGTTCTTGGTCGTGTACACTGACGGTTCTTGGATTCGAGCTCGCTGCCAGTGCTTGGCCATCAATGCCTTTGGCTTCTGGAGGGTCATAGATTCGGCTTGTTCTTGCCAATGTCTGGTATGGCTGATGCTGGGGTACGGAAAGGGCGCGTACCGCAGCTGCGGACGAGGCAACAGCCACAAGAGCAAGCCATGTGCGCGCCAAGCGGCCTTTGCGCGAAGGCGGAGAAGCATTCGCCGCCAGCGCAGCACCACCTTCGTGTAGTCGTTCTCGGTCAGGTCGAAGTGCTGGGCCGCTTCCATTACGATCCACAGATCCTGCGAGGTCTCGAAAGGTCGTCGAAGAGGATGTCGTCGGGGCTGAAGGACGTGTTTGAGCCACCTTCATAGCTTGAGCCCCGGCCGATGTCGCAGCAAGGATCGCATGCTCTGTCACAAGGTGCTCATGCGGTGCTTCGGAGGTTGACTCAAAAGGCACTTCAAAATGACTCATCTTCAATTGCAACTGTTTCTTCCAAAAATCAAAACTGTTCAACTGAAGTTCAACTATGCCGTCTTGTCCAAGTTTCCGCCAGCGTTGGGAGTCCGGACGAGGCCATTGGCGAGCCTGGAGTGGAAGGGCGAAGTGGCCTGCGGCCAGCTGACCCAACTCCAAGAGTTCGCCACCCACCAAGTCAGCTCTCAGTAGCTTGCGGCCGAACGAAAGGACCGCACCGATAGCGCTCAAAAAGTCTCTTCCCAAAAGGAGTCCCAACGATGGCACTGGCACTATTGACACCCACACCAAAACCAAAGTCGAACCCAGGGCCATAGGGAGTCTGTACCTCACGGTGCTTCTTTGGGTACCACCATTTCCAAACCTGAACAACTCATTCTCGGGGGTGGTGATGGTGAGGTTCTGGATATAGGAAGGAGCACGTTCGAGGGCTTGGAGGTAGAAGGCCAACCATGAGGAACCTGCGCATGTTCTATTGCAAGCTCCAACGAATCTCTTGTCTTGTGCGAGACGTGGAGTGCTCTTGGGGTCGGTATGGTGTTGCATGAGGACTTCGAACAATGGGCGATCCCATGAATCGCCGGCGGCCACTGTCATGACCTCGTGGCCCATGTCATCAGGTTCTTCAGGAGCCACATGTTCAGTGTTCAGGGTCTCGGTGACACGGACCTGCTTCGTCATCTGGCTCTTAGGCTTTCCTTTGGGTCGAGCCAGGCCAGCACCAGGGGCCTTGCAGCCTGCATCACCAGCCCAGTGTCCCACCTCACCACAGTCGAAGCACTTTGTAGTGCTCTTTTGGCGAGGGACTTGATTGCCATGGGGCTTCGTCGAACGAGGAGCCGGTTGGCCAGGCTTTCCATATCCACGGTCTTTCTTGACCTCAGCTATTTTGGTGCGTGCTTCACGCATTGTCAACAGACTCTCTGCGGCCTGTTCCATGCCGCTCTCCAAATCTTCAAGCACTCGAGGGTCGCAACCTTCAGTCTCGAGCTCCTGCAGCTCGTGGGCAAGAAGCTCAGCTTCGGTCTGGAGGACTTCTTCGATCGTCAGGTTCTCAGGAGAGTAACCCTGACCATCATCGTCTGGAATCAGCTCTTCATCTTCCGCCTCCATCTGGCCTTCCTCTTCAGGGGCCTCGGCAATCAAGGCTTGTCGAGGTTGAGGCTGCTGGCCAAAACGCTTGAAAGGTGGCCGGCTGGAACCAGAGCTCTGAGTCCGGAAGGAGCGAGAAGAGGGAGCCGTCGAGCTGGCTGTAGTCGAAGGCCTGTAGGACGAAGAGGAGCTGTGTCTGTCATGGGACTGTAGGAAACGCTGGAGTAGTGGTGCCTTATCAAAAGGTCTGCTCTTGTTCAAAGGGTCGGAGGAGTGCAAATCTCGAAACAGACGAAGGCATTCTGATTCGACCACATCATAGTTCTCCCGACCTGCCAATGCTGTCTCCAGCAACTGCTTCCTGATTGCATCCAGTCCCAAACGTTCTTTCAACATCCAGCCTAACTCCTCCTCCGGCGTCACTATGCCTTCCCGTTTGAGCTCAGCTGCAAGTGTCCGGAATCTCGTGCAAAATGCTGAGATTCTCTCTCCAGGGCTGCGTTTGATTTCTTGATAGTAAAGGGATCGGAGTTCTCCCTTTCTATCCAAAGCTGTCTTCCCAACCGTGGCCTCCAAGGCAGTCATGAGTTTCTTGAGGCCAGCAAAAGGGTCTGCAGCAACCCGAATCACCTTGTCGCCGGTGTCAGGATCGGTCATGGCTTCTTCCTTGGTCCCTTCAAGATCCTGGGGATCGAATTCTTCACAACGAGCCCTGACCACACCATATTGTCTAAGTGCCCATCGGGCGGCGACATTGAACTTCTTGCAGGATTCTTCATCCAGCGAAGCCATCCACCAGTTCATCTCCCGGCGGAACTGTCGCCATTCCGCCGGGTTGCCCGACCACGTCGGCACCCGGTACCAAGAGCTGGTGCCGGATTCTTCGGCTGAAGTCATCTTCACGGCCAAATTGGCCAAAAACAAAAGTGAGGCTGCTGCAAGGTGTTCAAGGAGCTCCGCAAGTTCTGAAGCTCTCCAAAGAAAAGGCGGTCTTAGACCGAAAGTGAAGTTGCGCAACAATGGTAGGGCCCAAAGTAAAAGGTGGGTCTATGTACCCTCAAAGGTCACTCCAACAAGGCACTGCTCGGCGGCAAGGGCACAGTGAAGTGGTTCAAGAAAAAGGTGTCCACAAACAAGAGAATCTAGTTATTCTCAAAAGGTTGGCACCGACCACGAAGTCCAGAGCGTCTGGCTCGAGGTCGTGTGGAGCAGCCCAGAAGCTTAGCTTGAAGGCCACGAAGACGAGGAGAAACGAGGCAAAGCGAGGCGAAGCAAAGCAAGCAACGGCGGAGTGCAATGCCCAGATCGAGATAGGCTCCGGTGCCACTGTAGACGCACTAGCAAGAGCGTCTGCCAGCGCGCCGTTTTCACCTAAGGCGCAGCACGAAATGGCTTCAGGCCTTGATCCAAGCGAACATGAACAACCATGTTCCTCCGCCTGCCCAACACCGAAGAGCAAACTCAACTTTCACACATATTAATAATACCCCTTTTCAAAGCCTTCCCCTTCCTTTAGCCCTTGTTCTTCTGCTGCGTGTTAAAACATCTTTTGTTTCTTGGGTCTTTGTTTTCTTTTTTATTGATGTTTTTCTTTTCTATTGCCTTCCTCTTCTTATTATTGACTGTAGCTCTTTCCTTCTGATGCATCTCTCCCATTTACCAGTATGTCTTTCCTCTACTTACGAGCTCTTCATCTTCTTTCGTCTGCCTCCTCTCGAAACCTCTTCTTCCTCTTCCTCTTCCTCTTCCTCTTCCTGTTGCTCTTCCTCTTCCTCTTCCTCTTCCTCTTCTTCTCCTCCTCCTTCTTCTTCAGCAGTCTGCACACTCAAGGACACTCACAAGCAAACCACAGACCAGCCACTCAAGGACACTCAAGCACACTATGAGTATCCTCGAGTGTCTTTGAGTGTCTGATTCAACTAGCGCACCTCTTGCGACCACAATGTGTCACGCATGATTCATGGCATGTACGCATGCCATGTGTTTTTCAAGGTTCGCGAGGTGCGGTGGAGAGCCTTCTCGAGAAGCTGGCGCAAATGGCGGCACAGGAAGCTGTGAAGGCCACTGCCCTGCCCCAAGTGCTTGTTGGTTTTAACTCATGTAAAATGATACATCCACCTACAAACACAGGTTTGTACGGTTTGATGTGCCTGAAAGCCCCCTAAACCTCATGAAGGAGGAGGAGGAGGAGGATGCATACCAGACCTTTCGTGCTCTGAGTCCCCGTCCTCTCTCAGAATCTCCTGCTTGGAGAAGACATGGTCGGGGATGATCTTCCGAGCTTAAGCCAGGGCCTGGATAAATTTGATGAGACATACTAATTACTTGGCTTCGCTTTCATGGCGCAAACAGAAAAAACCTAGCGTCCTTGCTACTATTATCAAGGTGCCTTAGTAATAAGCTACTAGTAGTAAGGCACCTTGTTACTCCTGATAGCAAACATGTCTTTTAGACTTTTTAAAGCCCGGGGGGGTAGGCCGTAGAGGGAGGGAGGTAGGAGCTAAAGGTAGCTAGTAGCTAGCAGAAGAGTAGCTAACAAGTAGCTACTACCGACAGGACGCAGGATAGTTCACGCTCGCACTATTCATTTGGCTCATAGATTCTTAGAGACACTTAATAGCGATGGCCTCCAACCTAATAGCAAACTATATGTTGCACAGCGTGACGAATAGCATAATTGCTCTGAGTCAAGTCTTGCTCGTAAGTCGCAAAACTCATGTCAGAGCAGCCTTCTGCTGCGCGGCCACGGCGCTCTGGTCGTTCATGTCGTTCATGTCGTTCGTGTCGCTCATGCCGCTCATGCCGCTCATGCCGCTCCTGTCGCTCCTGCCGCTCCTGCCGCTCCTGCCGCTCCTGGTCATTGTGTCCTGCACCAATCTCGCACGTCCAAGAACACGGCCATTGCCTTTAGGTTGGAGGCCATCGCTATTAGGTCTCAAAGAACGCTCCTCCTTTCGCACCTCGCCCTCCTCTGCCTGGCACTCAAAATGTCACGTCGCCTTCCAAGATAAGCACCTGGCCTTCACCATCTTCTTCACCTGCAATAAGAAAGCTTTCTTTTCGAAAGGTGAACGGCTTGTTGGTAGTAAAATACAAAAGCTCAAGTCACTACTAAGAAGCTACTATATGCACACGCATAAAAGGGTAGTGAAGGGTGTTTCAGGAAACTGCCGCAGCCTGATTTGATACCTAGGGCTGATTCCTAGGTATTTTACGGAGTCTTGATTGATAGAACCTACCTAAAAACCGTTTGGCCTACACGAAGGGTTCTTCTGCGTCTTTGGAAATGGCTTTCAAACTCTTTGTACCTTGCTAATACGCAATCTCTTGGACATCGGCGGCAACGCTGCCAAGCCAGATGGAGATTCAGATTTGAAAGCGGCAGTGATTCTCTGGAAGCCTAGAATTCTGGGACAGCGACCTTCGGCCCAAGGCCCAGTGAGAAAATGTGAAATCTCAATGCTTAAGGACGCTACTAGGAGCAAAGGGCATCGGCCTTTCGCAAGGCACGGAAGACTGTCCAACCCTGTTCCTGTGGGAGAGGCCCCTGAAACAAAGCCGACGCACCAGGTGCTTCGCAATGGCCTCCCCTAATAGCGATGGCCTCCAACCTTATAATAGCGATCCTGTTGCACATTGCGGTCCCAGCCCCAATTTCCCCCTGGCCATCTCCAAGGAAAAGTTGGATGATCAGCGCGATTAATTCTGTGGGAAGACATTGTTAGCCTGCAGATCGCAAAGGCAATGCCTTGGACCGTCGAAGGACCTCAGAAGGACCTGAATCCAGTATGTTTGAGCAAAAATGTCCCGCAAGAATTATGTCATGAGGAGACACATTAACAACACAAATCTTGCAAGCTAAATGCAAGTCAAATGTGGCAGCTTTTCAACAGACGCTGAGCAAGGGGTCTACTTCGCTACTTTGTACCGGTGCAGAAAGCAACGGCTTGAGAATGCCATTCGATGGGTTACAGGCATGGCGAAGGACAGGTCTCGGGCACGTGAACAGGGCCAGGAAATGAGTTACAGTATTGAGCCACGTGCAAAGAGCAGGCAGGACCACTTGCCCCTTCCAGCTGTCTCCAACCGTAGTGCAGGTCCAAAGTGAAGTCCACTTCTCAGCTTCAAAGGCAACAAACCTAAGGCGCCCGAAAGTGCCAGAGCTGTATTCAATCCCAAAACCCGGGCCCGGGCTTTGTCTTGTTTGACAAGAAAATTGGAGGACATTAAGTGTCATCAGGTAACATCATGTACACGAATCGTTTACGTTCTTCGGTTTTATTGTTGGTAAAAATTATACTTGGTTGAACGTGGTATTCAACAAAATTAGGATCACGGAGCCTAAGATATTGGGCCCCGTGCTGTTTTCCCGAAAGCGGTTACATGTCAAACTCACAAGCATCTATTCGCCCAGCTTCACCTTGGAGGCCATTCCCTGCCGCTCCTACACCGTCTGGAATCACATGACCATTAGCATAAGTCTTCATGAAACGATCTCCAGGAAGCTTCTAGCTACTAGTAGTTTCTTGTTCCTGGTAGCGATGGCCTCCAACCTACTTGCGATGGCGTCCACCTAATAGCGTCCTAGGGCCAGGGCTTTACTTTCATAAGCCATTCGCAGTTTCGTTGCATGAACGCTTACAGTATACTGAGACACGCATGGCTTAATCTTTGGTCGGCAGCACGGTGTCAGCTGGATCGGACCAGCAAGCAGCGTAGCCGGCTGTGGGAGCACTTTTTCTGGAAGTTGTTTTTACAGATGAGCAGTTTGGTGCAAGTTGGCGGCCATAATAGAATAAAGGAAATGCAGATGATACCTACCATGCGTGCATGCATATCTAGCATCCACTAGTGCGTTATATTACAGCATTCGTTGCTGAAAAAAATGTACATACATGCATTGTTGATAAGAAAAAGTGAGGGGGTATATGCAAGGGCTCTGATATGAGGACCACATACCGTGACGAGAACCGAAAAAAAGATGACAGTGATTGCGATTGCTATTGCTGTTGTTGATGAAAAAGCCTCTCTTTGACCATGTTCATGGAAAAGGAGTTGTGCTCCGAGACAAACATGTTGCTGTTGATGTGACATTAGCTCGTAAATGTCTTTGTGCTCCCAATTCTCAACTTCGATGGACACCCGTCTAATGTTGAGTGGCTTGCTGACAAAACTGTTTGTACTTCCTGAGAAGGAGTCCTTTAGTGGGCTAAAGAAGAATTTAAGAACGAGTGCATAATCAAATGTGTATGATTTTTGTTTGTAAAAGCCAAGATAAGTAGAAATTCTGAACAAAACAACAAGTGGTGAGTACAGGGAAGTACAAAGACTGAGAGCAAACTCTGGGCCTCGTCTGTGCCGACGTCCTGGCAGCCAACGGCTTGCTTGGGTCTGTAAGCACGCCTCCACCCTACTGGCGATGGTCTTAAACCTACTAGCGATGGCCTTCTACCCAATAGCGATGGCCTCCAACCTAGAAGCAAAAGGAACCTAATAGCGAAGGCCTCAACCTACTAGCCATGGCGTTCTACCTACTAGAACTGAAGCACAAACCCAGAAGCGCACCTTTGCCGCGCGGAGCTCGTTGGCCTGTGTAACACAAAGAACCTAATTGAGACTCAATCAATAGTGGTCTTTTAAAGATTTCAAAAAGCATTGGTTTTAAGGTTGGAAGAATGAAGGAAGGTCTCAGCATCAACTGCAATTAACTATGAAGCAAATGCAGCACCTCGTTCAGGATTGTCGAAGCCAGACTCAGAAACGAAAGGAGCCACTCTAGTCCAGCAAAACGGAGTGTGATCAATCGGAAAACTGAGCATTGTGCCATGTTTGCGGCCGCCGCTTCGTATTTGCATAGTAGTTGCTTGGTTATGCTGCAGGCATTCTATGCCATTTTCCAAGCAGCTATCAAGTGGCTAAGTTTTGCTAGGGGTGCATACTCTTAAGGTGTGTGTGTGTGTGTGTGGTGCCAGTTTCTACTTTGGCCCTGTGCTTCAGCAGTAGAAGCACGATAAACATTCCCACTGCAGAATCTGTCCCTATTGCAACTCTTGATTGTCTTGAACAATTTGCTCACGCCAAGCAATGAGCCACACAGCTCAACAGAACAACAATGTTCAGGAACCTCCAACCTAGTAGCGATGGCCTCCAACCTAAAAGCGATGGCCTCCAACCTAATAGCGATGGCCTCCAGCCTACTAGCCAACCTAATGGCGATGGCCTCCAACCTAATGGCGATGGCCTCCAACCTAATGGCGATGGCCTCCAACCGAATAGCAATGGCCTCCAACCGAACAGCAATGGC